AACGACTTTTTGCTATCCCACAGACTCCTTTTCCTTACTTTCTCTCCCCCCTCCCCTTCTCCAACTCTTTCAACCCCCTTCTAGTAAAGAAAGATTACCGATAGGATGTACATATTCTTTCGGATTATCGTGTCGGAGATGGAAGATCGAAGGTTTCTGATATTAAGGTCCTAAGATTTGTCATATTATATTCTTGTTCTTATTCGTATTATTTTTTATTTGTTTTGTTTAATAATAACTTAAAGTATGTATTAGATTGTAGGAGAATATTTGATTGTGTTTTTGTTTTGCAACAAAATAATAATGTTCGATTAAATGTTTACGTTCAAGATGATTCAAAGCGATTAATTATTATTTCGTTGTTGTTGAGAATAAGTTGGATACAAATTTAATAATGATTGTTTTGATTTCGATATTTATTTCGTTAAAAACGAAATTTGGTTAGAACACCTCCTTTTTTGATATTTTTTATTATATATTTTAAATATATATATGTGTGCAGAAATTGTGTATATTAATATAATTTAGATAAATATTAAAATAGATAATTTAATAAAGATATCTGATAATTAATCTATCGTAATACATAACACACATTAAATAATGAAGTCATAATATTTTTGCTATAATAAAAATGATTTTTGCCACCAATTATCTATCCTAGTTTTGATATATATATATATATATTTGAAATGTTTTTAATCTTAACTAGTTTCTGAGAAAGATCGATTGACACTGGTTTAAAATTCATCGGCATTTTACAAACAGTCGATATAAATCGCGTGCGAGAAATCTCGAAAGTAATCGGGATCGTCGTCGAGTTCGTTAAGGGTGACAAGTACGGATAGAAGTTTCTTGAACGATGCAGAACGAATGAACGAACGAACGAACGAGTCACTGCATATATATATATATATACATATACATATATATATATACCTATATCGGCCATGGAAACGTTCGAAGAAGTGCCATTCGATACCGTTATCTTCGTATCAACGTAAATAACTTCTCGAGCTAGAGCGTACGTAATTAACCAGGAAAGCAAAGAGAAAGAAAAACGAGAAAAAGAAAGAACGATAACTTCGAATCCATGGAAAATGTCACCAAACAAAAAAGAGAAAATATTTCCTGAAAAACAATTTGATTTTTAACTCGAATAATTGTCTCAATGTACTTTTAATCGAAATTAAATATTATACAGTGTTCATAAATAAAATTAAATCATTTAGAAAAAAAAATAAATTCAATACATAATATAAAATGTTTATAGAAATACCTAAACCCATAGGATATTAAATATTAATCCAATAAATAAAATAATAGAAATAAATATTGGGAAGTAAGATTATTGTGAGTATATCAAAATTAAAGAATAAAAGAATAAAAGAATGAATGAGAAAAAAAAAACCAGGAAGAAGAAGAAGAAGAAGAAAAAGAAAATGAAGCACCCAGTGGTTTAGAGATTGGTTAATTTACGATGATGCTCGGTCAACAAGGCGCCAGGGCATTTAGCGTTTAACGCGAACAAACCGACAAATGAGAAAGAAGAACTTGGATGAACGAAGAAAGATATACACGTTAATGCTTAAGATAAAAGAAGACGAAAGAATAAGAAGAATAAGAATAAGGAGACGCCACTCAACGCGCATTATTCGAATTGATGCGTTGAATTGGCGCTGACGACATCGGATAGGCCAATCCGGACGGTTTGTTTATTATTGGTCAAGCGTTGGCGGGATTCCTTGCGGTCTCGTTTAATTGAACCAATCGTCGATCGCGATAGAAACAAATACATCGACTCGACTAAATTGAACATGGCACCACCATCATCTTCATCGTCATCGCAATCGTCATTTTTCTCATAGTTATAACATCATTGTCTCCGTATTTAATCTATTTTTTATTTTTATTTTTAATACATTCAACTCATTTCTTCTTCATCATCGATACCAACGATTATAATTACATTTCTCGTTGTTGCAAATGTCCGCCATCATAAAAAGATGGCGTCACTATCTTTTTCTCTTCTACTTTATGATTGGTGGAAACAATATTTAAGGTTATGTTATATTAATTAAACGTAGATATAAATTAATTTCATTTTAATACATCGTTAGATATACTCGTCGAATTCATTTGCTAAATCTTTTGTTAAATATCGCTAACAATAAAAAAAAAGCAAGGAAAACCAATGATAGGAAGAAACAAAAATGTCTGAAAAGTACAACGCGTTACTTCGTAACGAGTATATGACTAATTACTTAAAATCACCCATGGGGTGTGTTTTATTGTTTTTCGTAGAAGGAAAAACAAAAAAACCAAAAAAAAGTAACAAATAATAATAATAACAACAATAATAAGAATAAGAATAAGGAAGAGAGAGAGAGAGAAAAAAAAAAAAAAAAAGGAAGATTCTGGTTTCCGGACACGGAGGATGCATAGAACGGTTCGTTTCGAAATGCAAATCGCATTATTTCCATACGTACGCGTAATGGCCCATTACGCGCACGTGGCCGCCACAAAGGAATCCGCCTATGGCTTCTGTGTACGCGCACGGTTATACCACACGCATTTACACACACCCGCACACACATATATATATGTATGTATGTGTTAGAGAAGACTAGAGGCATTACGGGGCGGCAACGTGAAATGACGTTTTGTTCCATCGGGACCGCAAAAAGCTCTCCACCCTCACCCCTCCTCACCCACTCTCTCTTTCTATAGATGTATGTGTGTGTGTATGTCGTACGATGACTAAACTACCCACCACGGCCGATTTACACATATTGGCCGTTCCCCACCGATTTTCCACGCGTATATTTCTACCACCGTTGTGTTCTTCGATAAAACGATTTCTACTCTTCCCTCTCCATCCTCCCTCCCTCCCACCCCCAGACCCCCCTTCGCGTATCTCTTCTCGTCTTCTTCGACATTCGACATATCTCTCTCTCTCTCTCTCTCTCTTTCTATTATTTTACTGAAACACTCTCTTGGAGAGTTGCGATAATGAAATGGGAAAAGACCGTACGAGCTTTTAGCCTCAACGAATTCGTAATATTACCGAAGAAGAAGAAAGAGAAGGAGAAAAAGAAAAAAATAAAACTAGGGGAGATCTTCGATGCGTAACCATCTTTATTTCATCCCTTCCACCCCCCCCCTGCTCCTGTTCCCTCTCTTACATAAAATACCTTCCAAATGAGAAAAGATTTTAGTTACTGGAATGAAACTTTAATTTTGATTATACTATTATTATTATAAATGATAAAATATTTGTTAATCGTATTTAATTATTTCTTATAACTAAGTGCGAATGTTTTTCAAATTGTTGAATAATATTGAGTCTTATTGAATTGTACACGGTGTATAATATGAGAAAGGGTGACTTCTTTCAATTGAATAGAAATTTTTGTAAAACACTAGATATATCATGTAACATCATTACGTATGTATGAAAGAATACGTGAAATACGAAAGCAAAGAAAAAAGAAAAATAGAAGAAGGATCATGAAACGAAACGAACGTTTTTACTTTTTGTCTATGACGACGAGCGGTTCCATATCCTCCTCCTACCACCCCCTTTTTCTTTTTTTTTTTTTCGAAAAAACCACATACGAAGCAAAAATATATATATATATATATACATGTGTGTCTCTATTCTGTGTGCATATATATATATATATATATATACATGAGGGAAACGTTACTCTTGTTGAAAGAGAAGATGAATTTTCAGCGCAGCAAAACAATAGTGCGGATTATCGCGCTCGCGCGTTGAAACAAGAGGACACCCCACGTGATTAGTCTGACATTTGCACGGGCAGCGTGAGAAAGAGAAAGAGAGAGAGAGAGAGAAAATGTCTCTCATTCTCTTATGGTTGCACGGTTTTTCCTCTCCTATCCCGAGCTAGTTGGCTCGCATTCCAACATCCGAGTCTCATTTGACTGCGTGTCTGGTGGCCCGAGGGCAGCTTTCGCGGCAACCCCATGAGGCCCTTGAAATACTACCCCCCTAACATTCCCCCTTCTCACCGTATAACCACACCTACCAACCATTTTCTAGTACAGTACCATCGTGAATTCTTTTTTCTTTTTTTCTCTCTTTTTTTTTATCTTTTCAATGTCTGTCTTTTGTCAACTTTATCATCGAATTACCGTTTTAAGTTACTTTGGTCTTTTTTTTGTTTATTTATTATTGTATTTTTTTTTAATGATTTTTTGTTAAAACAAATTCTTTCATCGTAGGGTTACACGTATCTATTGTGTTCAATTATTTTAAATATTAATTATAATTATAATATACTTAAAATATATATGGTTGGAATACAATTTGTATACTTTATATATTTATATAAATGTGATTGGAATATATTTATTAATTTATACCACTAACTTAACATTT